ATATATATATATATATATATATATATATATATATATATATATATATATATATATATATATGATATGATATGATATGATATGATATGTACTTTCTACGTAAATCTAATTTTAAATGTTTCAGGCCTCTGAACACCTTCGTGTCATTCATAAGAAATGGAGAGCGCGCAAATACAGACTGGCCTTGTCCAAGGAAGAAAAAGAACAGTTCGAATTGAAGATTTTAGCGGAGTCTCTGTTTAAAGATAAGAAAAAGTCGTATGCTAAGAGTTTAGGGCCGAAATTCCACAACGATCGGCTTGGCGCAGAATTTAAAGCGTTGAGACAGAGTTTTACGAATAATATTCTTCCTAGAGATGAGACTATAAAGGTAAAATATTCTTTGTTTGTTTCTTAATAGAAGCAAAAATTATAATTAATAATATAATAATAATAATTATAATAAATTATATATAAGTATAATTAATAAGTATAATTATAATATAATAATAATAATAATAATAATAATAATAATAATAATAATAATAATTAAAAATTATGATTTCTTCAAAAATAGCGTTGATAGGCATTATATTGTTTTCCTTTTTAGTATGCTACTCCTGTCATTAAATATGATCGGCATGGATACAAACCCCGCGAAAGGGTTCTTATTTTAACAGAAAACGCGGTGTACATTCTGGATACATTAAAAACGTTTAAACTTAAGCACAGACTACCTTACAAGTCCATAGAAGAATTGGTTGTAACTGGAGAATCGGATAATCTGTTGATTGTCAGGATACCGCCCGAATTGAAGAAAGACAAGGTATATTGTTAATGTTTTCGTTGTAACAACTATGCTATGATGCTTAAATTTGATTGTTTTCTTCTGTTTGCAACAGGGAGATTTAATATTGGAAGTACCATATATAATAGAAGCACTAACGAAAGCAATTGATATCACCAACAATCCAAATATCCTTAAAATAGTTCACACTGAATCGTGAGTATAAAAAAGTTATTTTTATTGAATCAGAACAAGCGGATTAATAATTTATATTGTATTTTAGGGTTTCACACAAACTAGTCAGCGGTAAAGAAGGTGTAATCGAATTCAGAACGGGTACAACACCAGCCATCAGTAAAAATAGGCAAAGTGGACACTTGCTGGTGGTAAATACAAACTCTGCCGCATAAAATAATTGAGGTAATGATTCTCGCGGCTTGTATTCACGTGTAATATTCTAGGTGGCATCTCCATAATATCTCGATGAAATTTTAAAACGGAAAAATTATTATGTACTTAGAAGGATGTGTTCAGCATGGGAAGTTTACGGGCAGGCTTGTGATCTAGAACGGAAGATCGTTAAGAAGAGATAATATATTGAAATTTAGTAAATTTGTTAAATAACACTCGCCGTTTTGTACCTTGTTAAACAATGTCAGTTTGTAAAATACTGTGTGAGATAATGTTTATTTTTATAATTAGCGAATTGCCTGCAAAATGGATCGTTTTTGCAAGTAGCATGGGATCACTTAACAGTGAAAAAAGTCAGTGCCTTCTATGAAAAATCGTCAGCTAATCGCACAAGAAAATAATTTATTATCGGATATCTTCCGGGTGCATTGAAAAAAAAGAAAGAAATATTTCCCTTTTTCTATATTTATATTATATAAGTCACTGTGCCATCAATAATATTTTATGTTCAGAATTATCTTATGGAATATTGACAACATAGAATTAAACTAATAACCCTTCGGTCGTAAACAAAATGAGTGGATTTTATTAATCTTTTTTTGTGTTACGTGTCCTTATTCTGGAAGCCAATTTTGAATATGAGTCTTGCTTTGCTCGTCTATTATTTGTGTAAAATATTTTTAAAAAACAGCATTACTCTATTCACCGAAAATACAGTAAAACATTTGGTTTCTTCATTCTTATATTATTGCTCTTATTTAATAGTAATATTTATTTAAAATAAAGAAAGAACGATTTAATTGTAAAATGTAAGATATCTTTTATTTTTCTTTGTACATATTATACAAAACTTTATGTACAGATACCTTAATCTTATCTATTATTAATACTCCGAGACAAAGAAAGAAAGTAACACTTCCTTAACATTAAAATACAAACAAAGCGCTGAATTATTTTTTACGTTTAGCAGCGGGCTCCTTTTTAGTGAGGGACTTTTTCCCATCCAAAGCTTTCTCTCGCAATTCATCCTCCATTGCCTTATTGACTGTTCTGGTAATCATCTGCTTCAACTTGTGTGCATCTTCGAGCTTCTTCTTCTTTGGCTGAATTGGTGCATCTATGAAAGAATTTACATACACAAAAAAATTCGTCTTATTATTATTCATTTATTCTCACTAACAGTGAGATATTATTATTATTATTACTCGTTTATTCTCACTAACTAACATTGTTAATATAAACAACTGCAACCGTAAATATCACTTACTATTTCTGCGTTGAACAACCGGGCCTTTCTTCTTACTTTTCTCCTTGGCTTTTCCCTTCGTCGAAGGAGGCAGCTTGGACTTCACTTTTATTTTTCCTTGGGCCATTTCGAAACTGTTAACAATATTATGTTAAAAACAAAAAACACGTGCGTGTACCTATTGGCGTACACAATCTAACCTTGCCTACGCTTTGTACACAGCGAGTACAGGTACCATAAAAACAAAACCACGTGACTCTTACTGGGATTTTTGAAGGTGTCCTATACGCAAAACCGAATTTATTTATGTTTATTGCGTGACAAATTAAGGGACGCGACGTAAAATATAAAAACAATCTATTTTTAAATGTGTAAGAAATGTTTTCACAATACGCAATATGCGCGTATTGTGAAAATGTTCTAGCACAGTTGTAAGTCTTCCATTTTATCCCGGACCAAGTTATTAATTAACAATCATCAATTTTTCATATAAAAATAGCTCACCGAATTGGATACGCGCAAGTTTGCAGTTAATAGTTTATAAATTATTAACTATCAACACTTAAATGGAAATGATGGCGTACTCGACGAGCACTACGAACCTACCAAACGTTTATTATTACGTATCACTTGAAAGTGCTTGCGAGCTTCTCTTCGTTACTGTTGGTTACTGTACTAGCTAATTAATAATTCATTTTTCTGTACAGACTACATAAAGACGACATACAGACCAATCGAAAGGACTTGTGGCGACATCGGTGCATTACAATAAATATGTGCGACAATTAGACAAAATCCACTGTCGGTAATTTGGATAATTCGAGTTAATTAATTATGGCAAAATTAGGGCATAAAAAAAACTAAACCAAGGGTACAAAACTATTCACGATAATCTATCGTGTCCATACTGTATACAAAAACAGATAACAACGTTGCGAAAACATAATTAAATTGCACTTTGAAAGTTTGTTTAACTATTATGCTAACTATTGCAATGTTGTTATTTGTTGTTATTGCACGATATCGATGCAGCAAATTCTTCTTAACAATTTTATGCCCTCGGTTTACTTTTCAATTGCATAATTTTGCTGTAATCAATGTTTCTAAGCGGCCCTGCATTGTGCACACGTAGACGATCGAGGCGCCTCTTGCGGAGGAAAAGTGAAGCTTATCCGAGGTTTGTTCAGCGCCAATTAGTACAGTGGCAAAACGCTCAAACTGTTAGCCAAAGTCAACTGTTGGTAATTTGGCTAGCAGTTTGAGCGTTTTGCCACCGACTAATTGGCGCTGTACGGACCTCGAATTCAGCTTCACTTTTTCACCACAAGAGGCACCACCATCGCCCGCATATGCATAATGCAGGATTGCTTAAAAACATTAATTATACCAAAATCAGGGCATAAAAAACTAAACAAAAACAAAACAGAACTATTCAAGAGTGTCTATCGCATCGATATTATGTAAAAACACCGATTACAATATCGCAAATCACAATTAATTAACATAATAATTCATCAAACTTAAAAGAACAATTCATTATATTTTATAGTATTGTAATTTGGTTTTTTACATGTTATTGATACAATAGATTCTCCTGAACAATCCTGTGTACTTGGTTTACTTTTTTATGCCCTAATTTTGTCATAGATAGCATTTTTCCCTCCATTATATGCTTGTCATGGAGATTTACTTCGGACATCTGCCGCTATGTGGCGATAGTGTTTCGTAGTCCATAAATGGGCTGTTTTTTGAAAAATCATGAATTGAAAAATCGTTAATTTTCAGCCACCAATTGCTAAGATACTTACAATTACTAGTCATATTGTAATTTGCAATTGCAAACTTTCTTTCAATTGTTCATAGATCGTATTTTAAACTACACGAAAGTAAATAGCAATTTCTAGAAAAAGCGAAATAATTTTTACTGCACCGTATTGATTTCGAACGTTCCAGATAATGAGAATTCTACTGTATAACTAATAGGAAAGGAGTTTTGTTTTCAATACTAATTTTTGTTGAATCACGTGATGTAACAGTATGCAATATGGAATTATGTACTATATAGGTATATATTTCCTTTTCTGCAGACTATCTCGTTGCTGCGCCACGTTCAATTTATCGAACGTAATAGCTGCATACAAATTTTGAAACTCTTAAATCAGAAAACAACAAAAAAAACGTGCCATATTGTACATCGAACGTTGTTCCGTTGCGATAATATTTTCAAGGATGTGGTAGATCATTATAATTTTATCTTTGAATTAAGTATGTAAAGATTAATGTAATGACTTGCAATATTAATTAAACTTGTGTACGTTGTACATAAGAGTTATACATATAGCAACGTTGTCGGCGAATTCCGTTCCTGGAAGAATTTTTTCGTGCACGATAGATCATTTTTATTTATTGATCTATCTTCGTTAATTCGTCGGATAATACGCTTAAATAAGTAGAATCGTAACAATGGCTCTGTCTAAACCGATGGACTTAATACTTCAACTTACTAGTGCTTATTTCGAGCGTCTGTATAACAGTCCAGTGAAAACAAAAGCAATCACCAGGTATATTAATGTTTTGAATTATTACGGAGAATAAGTAACAAATTGGAAACGATATACAGAATATATTTTACAAGTGTTCCTTCATTTTTAGCTGCATTATCGCATCTCTAGGAAATATCGTGTCGCAAAAAATTTCAGGGGCGAAATTCGTCAATGGGGAGAGTGTAGTTGTCTATGGACTATTTGGGTAAGGCCCATCCAATTATAATGTATATTTTCTAATTAATTTGAATCTGATACCATTGAATGATATTTTACTTTTATAGATTATTCTTTGGAGGCCCTATCCCACATTATTTTTACCAATTTATACATCCTATCGTGAGGAATCCTCTTTTACTTTTGTTGATAGAAAGATGCTTGTATACGCCATGTTATCAAGCTTTAACATTATATATGTTAGCTCTCTTCGAGGTAAATCTTTTGGTTCTCTGTACAAATATTGCTATTTTTAATATAATTAATATTCTAATTTTGTTTTTAGGGTAATGCGAGCAAAGATGCTGTGAAACAGATGAAGAAATTATACTGGCCAGTACTCTCTGCAAATTTAAAATACTTAACATTGCTACAGTTTATAAACATCAAATATGTACCACCAGTGGTATGTTCCAGTTTCTATCGAATGGTTATTTAAAGATTGGTATGTCCTATACTCTGAGAATTAATATTTGGATTTTATTTCAGTTACGCGTGTTAGTTGTAAATTTGATCGGCTTCCTATGGGTTATATACCTCGCACAGCAAAGATCGAGACAAGAGAAAAAGAAAGGAATGAGAAAGTAAAATTTAGTAAAGTAAGTTTAGCACTTTTGGGGCAACAAGTTGAACGGGACCACATTTATTTAAGGAAACATATTTTGTACGAAAATAGTGTATATATAAGTTAATTCTAATATAAGGATAATTGTATTCATACAAATGTTTTCATAGATTCTTTTATAATCTTAACGCTGAAACTGCCAAAAGTCTGTAAGTTTTGGGAAGACTGTGAAGATCTTGTATTTGGTGCTTGGTAGTTCTAGTGTTAAATAACATGAGAAAATGTTGGGTTTATAAATATCCAAATAATAAATTAAATACCAAAAATATTTTAGGGGAAATGATTCCATTGTTTCAAGCTTTTTGATTTAATCACACAACAACAATACAGAGTATATTACAGATATAATCAGAATTTTTTCCATTTCAACGATGGTAACATTCGATGACTGTAAATTATGAATAATAAATCAGTCAAGAGCCATGGTGGGCAAATTCTAACAAATTCTTTTGTTCATGCAGTGAAATCAATACTCGAAAAATTTTCCTCGATAGTCCTAATTCTATGAAACAAATATTTCGTGATAAATGTACATTCATTTTTCAATATTCCCTTCATTAGATATGCATCGATGCAAGGTCAACATTGCGACACCATAGCGATTGACGACTTTTTTTTTTTAATAAAACTGACTCAGTCATTATGCGAGAGCTAGGTTCTATGTAGTTTTCCCTTTCTAATTATAAACAACGTAGACTTTCCAAATATGACGTTTAACCCTATACATACATCCTCAAGACTTAACTTTGAATAATCAAGACTAATTATGTCTAATTATGTCTTTTTGTATGCTGCCTGGCCTTATAGCCAAGAAAAAAACGTTCTGACTAGTATTTAGGTAAATTGAGTATTGCAAGTAAAGGAAAGTTTAAAAGTTTTAACTTCACTTTTACACTTTTTTTTCTTGTCGTTAAAGTCGACGAATGACTAGCAAATGATAATATCATTAAATAAATAAATAAGTTAAAAAATAAATAAGTGTATAAATAAATATACAATTTCTTGGACGTCGCGATATAAAGAATGAAAAGTAAATATGAGCAAAGTACTAGCATAGTTATGCACATTAAAAATGTCTATATACAAAAGGAACAGGTTGTAGAACATTGCACTAAAACTTCCGTTGCTAATCCGCAAGAAATTGATCAAAGGATGCTAGTGGTTCTTTTGTCTCACCATTAATGGAATGTCTAAAAATTTGACTAGCTGGTGTTTGTATAACAAACAATTACATGATCAAATAATCACGCGCACATGGAACTACTAGAGTAGTCTTAAATGAGTAAATAAATAATAGCTATCGAATATAATAATAATACTAATGTGAGATCTGAAAAAGCTGCAATCAACACAGTTAATGACACCCGGTTAATCATCATTGCCTCCTTATTGCTTAAGTACTCAGGTGGATGTAAGTTTGTAAAGAACATCATCACGCGAAGACTTAAAACTCTAACGATTGCTGGACAACGTAAAACCACAGGTAATATGATAACCTTTCGAAAAAACGATCGTATTAAAAAACGTTGTCCCTAGTTATATTATTAAAATATCCTCTTTGGTTTCTCTTGTACAGGTATGAATTAGAAATTCAGTCCGAATCCGTGAAATCAAAAAGGAACAAGATTAATTGACTAAAATTCTGACTTCGTTTCCTGGTGTCTGGAGAGAATACCTAACGGTTAATTGTAAAACATCTCTGCTCTTGTTTTCTACGTGAAACAAGATTTGTAGAAATTTAGCATTGTTTGACAAGAAAAGTCTATTCCGAATGATACATGTACTAATACTGAAAACTAACGGTGAACCACCATCGATGAGTATTATTATTTTTAGTCACGAGATCAGAGGTGTAAATGCGTATTAATATTTTTATACAGACTTAAAAGATCATGCACCAAACTTTTAGAACGGCCCTGTCGGCGCCTGCATCCCTTTAAAATCATGCTTCCTACCGTAGGTGAACAGTATTAATTCATGGACATGACACGGCGCAATGCAGCAGAACTGTTAGAAAAAGCATCAGAGAATCTTTGGTGAACCGCACCATTCCAAATCTGACACGTGAGAGGAACGTCGAATGTCTTTTAAGGATTCGCTGCAAGTCGATTCAACGCGTGTACGATGGACTCCGACTCGGGGAACAACTTGATCGGTGACTCGGACTTGACCAATTACTATGTCTGCTGCTATCTGAGCTACTCGGTGAAGAAGGTGGTGTCGGAGTAGGTCGGTGATATGGAATTGGTCGCTTCCTGGCACTAAAATTAGTCGATATCAATAATCTGGTAAAACTCGAGAACAACATTTGTTAGAAATATTATTCGCGCAGGCAAACCCGCTTTGTTAATCATTAGAGAGCACTTTCAGCGAGTCCACTGTTTAACAAATTTTCATTCTAGACTCCCCTGAATAAGGTGATTTGATTTCCATACTGATAATATGTATATAATACATACTACTATGTATATAATACATACTACTATGTATATAATAATACATACATACTCTAATACTGTATGTATTATTAAATGGTATCATCTTATTCAAAAGAAACCACAGAATACTATTGTGCAAGTTAATAGTATTTCGTATCTCTATTAATGTTGAAGCAGAAGATACTTTCACAGTTAAGAATTTTAAAATTGATGAATTTGAAAACTCAAACGCGTGTTGAACAGTGTCATTAGTATCACTAATCACTATATATCACATCATAATAGAAGCGTGCGAAATAAACCATGCTATGAAATGGGACCGGCGTGCAAAATAAAAATGGTGTCACTTACCTTGTTTTATCAACGCAGGCAGTGGTAAAAAAAGAAAAACGATTCGCAAATATTACAAAAAAAAGAAAAGAAACGTCGAACTAAAGAACCAGGCTTGCTTGGTAGCGGTAAATACATTTTATTTGTGAATTGACAATAAAATAAAATGGGGTCTCTACTGTAAACGCTTAATTTACAATAATTTATACGGGGGGAGGGGGGATACACGCATGCTACGTCTACTGTAATGTCTGTAATTCGATAAGCATCTGATACAAATAAAAAGAAAGAAGGTAAGGAGAAGAGAAATCATACAAACGTGACTGTACTTGAAATAAAATCGGTGTGTATGTGTATGTGTGTGTGTGTCTCGATACGGTAGAGAGTAGGTATAGTTACTCTGTGAAACTAATTAATACCGGGATTCTTTGATTATACTGATTATGTTTTATAAACAGAACGTGTTTGTAACGCGATAAAGTTTATAATAATATAATGGTAGAATCGACGAGATACTTCCAGAAAAATGAAATTGTTGCATTTATTCATTGATCCATAATTAGTCTAATATTCGCATCAGCAGGTGGACTGATCTTCGCCTTGTATACGCATATCTGTTTACCGATGTTCATGGGAAAAGAAAAATTAAAACTCTCTCTCGATTGCATCGTAATTAAACTACATGTAAACTGTAGGAAAGTAATAGAAACATCTGTGCGAAGCCGTAACTTTATCTTCTATGCCTGTCCCTTGATCTGTCCCTGTAGGACAACATAAAATGCCATTAGATTAAACAATCAGATTAGTACAAATCAGAGGTTTCATAAATGTATCCGGTAATCTTCCGATGTTCTTAACGGATTCATGTATCGACGAAAGAAATCAGAACAAAATGCAAAAAAATAAAAAGGAGGAAGAAAACTGAACAGATTGAGAGAGATGTACGTGTCTACGACCGATGCAGTGGATTTACAAAATTTGCCATTGTGTGTTGGAAATATTAGCTCGCTACGACATCGAAGCTACCGATCTCAGACTACCTACCTCGTGATTCGACGCCTGTCTAGGAAACTTGGAGAACCATGGCGTCGCGGTATAGACGGGGATCGAGATCGGCTGGAAGCTGAAGAACTAGATGTCGAACGGGAGGATCTGCTGGAGACGCTGCTGGATGATCTTGATGAACTAGAAAAACTCCTACGACTGTGTCTTGAACTGGAAGAAGAACATAATCGTTTCGAAGCAACTCTACCTAGAAATGATTTCATAATACTTTTCAGCATTTCATTGAATTTTACCTTAAAGAAGAACGCGAACTGCTCCTGCTGCGACTTCTTTTCTCTTTGTCACGCGATATCCTGGACAATGACCTTGATCTGCTCCTCGACTTCTTCGACAAGGATCTACTCCTGGACTTCTTCGACAGCGATCTGCTCCGTGATTTCTTGGACAGCGACCTGCTCCTCGACTTCTTCGATAAAGAACGGCTTCTGGACCTCTTCGACAACGACCTTGTCCTGCTCCTGGACCTGGACTTCTCCGGCGAGTGGGAGGGAGACTTCTTGGAGTGCGAAGGCGACCTGGATGCAGAGTGTTTTGACTCCGAGGAAGATCGTGATCTGGTCACCCTCTTCGTCCTGGCTGGAGACTTAGGTGACTTCTTGGACTTTGATGGAGACGTGGGTGACCTATGTCTAGGAGTAGGTGACTTCTTGCTTCTTGACAAAGAACGCGACTTTTTGTCCCTCGAGGGCGACCTTGATCGGCATCTGGGAGATCTGGAAGACCGTTTCTCCGGGGATACTGATCTCGTGTAGGATCTGGAACGTGATCTGGAGTAGGATTTGTCTCTTGGAGAGTGCTTCCTGGAAATTGGTGAGTTCTTCTTCGAAGCGGTCGGAGAATCTGGCCGTTTCGCCTTGGTCGTGTTAGCTGGTATCGGAGGCGGAGACTCGCTAGGAGAACGCAGCTTTATGGGAGCTTCTTTCTGAGAGACCGGTGGCGAATGCGAAGACGATTTGCTTTCCGACGAGTTCTTCCTCAATAAGATTGGGGAGGTTTTTTTCACAACGATCGGAGACTTAGGACGATGGTTTGTCTTGGTAGCTAGACTCGGCGAGGTAGAGTTTATCTTGTTCAATGTTTGGGGCAACGGAGGAGGAGACTCGCTAGGAGATCGTATCTTTATAGCTGCCTCCTCCCGTGTGAGCGGTAATGCCGGCGAAGGTGATCTGCTGGACACCGGCGATTGGATGGCAGGTAGATGCGATATCGGCGACTTTGACTTAGATTTCTCCTGCATGGGACCAACAATGTTCTGTATCATTTTCGGTGGATCGATCGGTAAAGCAATATCGAGTACGCTGTCCTCTTTCTTCTCTATCTTTATCTTCACAGGGCTTATAACTTTTTTCCCGATGGACTCCCTGGCCTTAGCTGCCAGCCCACTCTGCAGACGCTTCAGAGTGTGCAATTCCTTCAACCGTTCTTCATCTTCCGGTTTCGGCTCTTCGTCCGCCATGTCGGTTTCATCTTCGCTGGAGGAGCGGAGCCTTACCCTGGGCGTTACAGTTCTGATCTTTCTGGTTTTGGAGATCGACCGAGATTTACGCTTGTTGTCATGGTTCTTCTTCGGATCTCGCTTCTTTTTGTCTTCCAGGATATGCTTGTATCGTTCGGGGTTCTTTCTTACAGGGGAGTAGCTCAGAGTAGATCGCCTGGACTTGCTTCTGGTCCTGCTACGGCTCCTGCGGCGCTCTCTAGATCTTTCTCGTCTGTCCCTCTGTCTTCTGGGAGATCTTGACCTTCTTCTGGAGTCGGACCTCCTACGCCTAGGAAGAGGTGACGGTCTGCGCCGAGATCCATAGCGATCGTACCTCGATCGACTTCTGCTTCTGGATACCGAGTATCTGTTGTATCTCCTAGGTGACCTCGACACTCTCCTCCTTCTAGGCGAGGGACTCACTCGCCGTGACCTTGAATACCGTCTAGGAGACCTTCCTCTATCGACTCTGCTCCTCGACGGTGATCTGTGACGCCTTGGCGGTGGGCTTTTGTGTGCAACCGGTGACTTCTCCTTCTTCTCAGGAGCTGTTTTTTTAACGGGAGAATCTTTCTTTTTTGGAGGCGGAGTCTCGTTTCGACCCCTTTCTTGTTTCTTCGGCGATCGGTTTGATCGTAGCTCTTTGGCCGTAGTTTCTGGCTCGTCGTTCTTTGCTTTTTCTACGGCTTTATCATGTTTCATAGACTTTTTGGGTCTCTCTGGGGAGCTGAAAGCATTACAATAATTAAATAAATTATCTGTATCGGTTTTCTAACATTTATTTTTAAAGTCCATTCAAGGGTTGACATACCTGTCGGACGAGCTCTCAGATGACTGATGCTTCCTCTTGACAGCTGCTTTTTTCTTCTAAAAGAAAAACAGTACGGATTACTAAATTAGACAAGGTTAGATAGTGAACATCAATCATGCATATGTATTTGTAGGATAAAAAAAGATGTTGCAAATGTCCAAAAATTTCCTGGAGTCTGCTCATTCGCGCTGATACATGTAATTTAAAATGTACAGCCAATCGTTTAGTATCGAGAATGATCACTAGACAAAAGTAATTGAGAGAATGAAGATAAAGTGATCACAAGCTAACGTGTGAGCGTCTGTGTGTATACACTAATTTATTCGCATTGCGCACCTATGTCAAAGAACAAGCAGTCTCCCGTTAATAATTCTCTCGTAAATGTGATGGTGCTTGACACAAAACGAGTGAAAGGCAACAACAATCGCAAGTTTGTACGAATATAAATCACAAATTATTATTACATTGAGTAGCGGCATATCTGGTACTCACTCAGGGAATATATCCTGTCAAATGGCGCTGATAATTACAAACAATACTGAGATTTACACTTTTGAAATAATGACTGTTAACTTGAAATCAGATAAAAATCTTTACAGAAACAAGCAATGAATCATGCTTATTCAAAGATAGGCAGCAACACAAAATCTCTGATAATTCCAATGTTAATTGACAAACTAATCAAGGGGAAAAAATGAACGCAAAGTAGATGTCACATGCTCCTGCTTCACGTGCTAAGGTAATATATATGGAGATATATATATATATATAGTCATAAATATGTATATGTATGTATAGAAATAGACAAGAAGATAGAAATTTAGTATCTATGTCCTTCCCATTATTTTTCCTACCTCATGCTTTTCTTTTGCCTCAGCTTTGGACTTTTTCTTCTTCTTTTTCTTTTTCTTCTTTGACTCAGTTTCTGAGGAACTGTACAACATAATTAAATCACGTTAGAAAAGAAATATATTTAGAGACATCTATTTAATTAATTTAAATTCTGTTACCTGCTATCATCCGACGCATCACTGGATTCGCTATCAGAGGAACTAGCCTCAGCCTTCTTGTGCTTTTTCTCCTTTTTCTTCTTCTTCGACTTTTCTTTTTTCTTGCTAGCCTTAGGAGATTCCGACCTAGGAAATGCATTTGACATTATTCCAAGTGTTTCACCGTGTTCGGTGTCTAGTTTATATTTGTCTTTTTTTTTAATAATATTTATTTTTTAATTCTTGCAGTGGACGTCTTCCTGTCGACAAGTGCATACCTTGTGCTGACAATAAAGAAAGCTGTAGTACAATGTATCCGTGTGTGAAACAAATACTTTATTCTAATGATACAAGCTACCTGCTTTCAATGAGCTCGATCAAAGTAAATGAACAAACAGTTTGAAAGTAATTCAGAGAACGTGTTACTCGGACGGAAAACACGCATTGGACTGAACTATTTCAGCGTCTGGATCAGGATTCGTAACTTCAAAAAGTAGATAACTAACTTACACGTACATGTATATGTATAGGAAATGCAGTGTGTAGACACTTTAAATATTTATATCTGTATAGATATATCAAATAAGAACCAAAAGTCATTTCTTTTTCTCTTTCCTTTCACTGCAATCTCAAGTGAATTAAGTAACAGAACAAAATAATATAATATATGTATATATATAGAGAGAGAGAGATAAAAATACAACGATACATATACAGGTGAAACTCACAAGTTTGGGCTATAGCTAACAAACCGACTACATAATTATTTTTTTTGGAAGATCTGGTTTTTCATAGCCGCTTGACACGTTCACGTAAACTAGCCGCACGATTCGGGTACATATGCAAAACCACATCTTTCAAACGTCACAAAAGACAAGTATACAAAATATGAGGAGTATTGATATAATATGGGATTAGCATTACCTTGATAACCATCGATAGGGACGGACTTGTCAGAAAAAAATAGAGAGATGACATTAACAACAAGCTTTATCGATAACAACAACAAAGATAGAAATGCATGATTTACGCATCAGATTGTTATGTTATTGTTCAAAAGATCCCGCGATTTTATATGTTGTACATTAAGTAAATGTTTGCCTATTTGCAACCATACGAATCAGCAAGTATTCTAATCGAACAAACGTATCAGTGACGTTCAAAGAAATCACGGAACAGCAAACATTTACCCTCTAAATTGCGCCTAAGAGAAAAGAGAGAGACAATACCTAAACGCAAGGCAATGGACAGACTCGATCGGTCTTTTTTTTTTGCTCAGTTTTAGATTGCTTTCGAGAGTGCTTTTCTTATTTTTTGTTTTTTTTTTTGGATAGTAGACGCGACGACCACACTTACCTACTGAGCCTACTGGGTAGGCACTCAGTCCTCCTCAGTTCTGTTTGAAACAGAGAAAGGTGTATGGGACATGAAATAGTAGGTGAGTCATGAGTCAGTATCTGACAAAAGGTGTGTAGTAAGCAAATGAACGAGTGTGGACTTGCGGTAAATGAATAATTAATTGGGGGGAGGAGAGGAACTACTACAGGGGATGCTTGTTCGGTCTTGGAGCCTGGATTCTTGTACACCTCCAACAGTATTCCATTGTAAAACTACCGATGAGCACAACTCATTCGCTATGGTAAACATATTACATCATTGTACTATAATATATGTAATGTTCCATCATGATACTATTATACCATAGTCTGTTGTAGTGTAATACGACGGTACTACTGCTACGCTATAGTACACAGCATACGCACGGTGCATAACCGAGCTTGTTACATTCCATAAAAGCTCCAATTTTCATTAATCCAAGAATGTATGTATGTATACAGTATAAGACAACTCATAATGCAATGACATAACCTTTTTTAATTTTAACATTTTAACACTGATTTTCTTTTTTAACATATTGCTGATAGATTTTCTGATTAAAATGAGACCAAACACGATATAGTTTGGACAGATATTTCTGTTGACAAAATCAAAGACGATAGACGTTGCACGTAATTTATGGAAAATATTTGATGAAAAATATACAGAGAACAGATCCTTTAACATCCTCTACGCGTAGGCTCGTCCTCAAAATGATGTCGCTTGCTGTAGGCTCGAATAGCGTAACTTTGGTGATATTTTCTTTCGAAAAACATATGTACATACCTTCTTTAACCTTGCCTTTAATATTTCATAGGTTAAAAATCGGTTTTTGTAATGCTTTTTTCGCAAATAAAATAAGTTACTTATTACGTATAATGAACAAGAATGGTTTGAAGTATATCGTGTTTGGTATCATTTTAATTGGAAATATATGACTAATATATTAAAAAGAATTTCATATATCAAAAATTAGAAATAAAAAAAGTTAAGTCATCGTTTTTATTCTATCGTTACAATGTTAAAACGTCGATTATTTTCTCATTACTTTTTTCTTAAAACCAGAATATCAATTTCCTTGGAGTTATCGAACTGTAACGCAGTCAGGTATGCATCCCACACAGTATTATACAATATATTCTAGTACAATGCAGTGATACGACTGCCATAGAATGCCACATCTTCAAATAGGAATCAGCAGTATCGAATCCAGCCTCCACTGACCCGTGCACCATTACGTTGTTTTTTACCTTTCCTTCTTGTGCTTCTTCCCTTTTTTCTTCTTGCTAGTGCTACCGGATCGTTTTCTTTTCTTCTTTTCTGGGGCAGACGTGGTATCCGGCGCCGGGCTTGGCGTTCTCACCAATTCGTACACTTTGCTAGCAGCAGCTCTCGCTTCAGCCTCGCGCGCGTGTCTCTCCGGATCTAGGCTACTTCCCTCCACGAAGAACTCCGATATACCGAATGCTTCTCGTAGCTTTGCATTTTTCTCTTGCTGCGCCTCGGCAATCTGATGTGTCTCGCGAACACTGCAACAATAATTCCCATTAATTCTCCTGAATCGCACAGTAATCAGCTCGAGCAGAAGTTTGATCGGACGCCTCGGTTTTGACCATCCCGGAGACAAATTCATTGACACAGCACAAAAGGGCTCCACTGCATAAGGCATTGTGGGTGAAACAATACAAGGCCACTTGAGAGTTTCGACGAGGTGCAAAGAGCAGCTCTCTCTTGGCGGCCTCGGTTCGGATACGGTCACCGGACTCACTATACCTCTGCCATCCATGATGTTCACAGGTGAACAGAAACGAAATAAAACAATTAGTGGGGCTTTCCCATCCGTAATACACTAGCACGACCTAAAAATCAAAAAGGAAATGAGAAATCGATCTCGGTGATCATTAAAAAAATTAGAGGCATGAAAATTCAGGACAGATTTCGGAAGTCGTAGCTCACTGTAAATCCAAAGAAGCACAAATTATGCCTTGAATAAATGAAAATTGAAAATAGACTGGATCCGAGAGATCACTTCTACCACCCACGGTACACCAAGAGACGCACTATCGAGAGACGATCAGACGGAACACTCGGACGGAAACGTAGAAAATATTGACCAGAAGATAAATAAATACACAACGGGTGGCAGCACACCATGACCCATTTCGAAAATCAATTGTTTCCTAGCTGGAGAAAGAACTAAATACCGTACCGCGTCGAGATTTTCACAGTCATCGTCGCGCGAAACAAATTTCACTGGGTCTGGTTATGGCAACGATTTCGCGGACGTTCTAGCTCGGGGGTGGCAGCGGAGGATGTCAACGCCGGGTCCCGTGGTCGCGAAGAAGCTCCAGGCAAAGTCCGGACAATGCGGCAAACCAGTGACATAACACGCCGGAGAGAGGACTATGCGAGGCGAAATCGTGGCGGCCCCTGTTCTTCCCCGCGAGTGAAAACCAGCAGGCCGGGGTCGGCCGAGCCACCCCTACGCCAACGCTCGAGCGCGGATCAATACAATCCAGCTGTTCTCTTTTCTGGTATCCCTTTCGCGCCACTCGCCCGCTACATACTCAAATTCAGGAGGCAACCTCTCCCCGAATTACCCTCCGCGCCCCTCTGCACCCCGGGTCAACGGGAAAATAATTTCTTTTTTCACCCTTTAACCAACCCCCCCGTCCCGCGCAACACCACCATCTTTGCAGCATCGATCGAACGCCTAGTGTTTTTCTATTTTTTAATAACCTTTTAGATCGCTTATCGCGCGAGCGGCGCATCCCTACCCCTAGCATCCCCCTAGGTTTTTCATCCCTCCGCTTCCTCCATCGAGATACTGCGTCTTGGGAACCAGTCTCCCACTTTGCAATGTTTGCCTTTAGCTTTTACAGTGGTTTGCAAATGTTGTTTATTTGCTGTAGGGGGTGAGAGTTGGAAAATGTATGCCTTTTGTCTGAGTAGCTTCTTGTAGGGGATGAATTAGAAGATGTGAATAATGAAACCCATTTTTCACATGTTTTCGAGGGACGAAAGAATACAAAATGGTTGCAACCAGTAAAGCACAGAATCAAATTAAGACAGGGGGTAGCCGAGGGTTAATTTTGTCTTGAACATTTGGAAGTATCCTAGTCAATTTTATATATCAATTTTTTGGCCCGGGATAAAAAGAAAAAATAGCGTTACAGTTTAATTCGTGCGTTCCGATTTTTTCCCGGCGTGCCTTTACCCCTTTCTACTTTTGACGCGTCCGCAGCCCCTCGATTTCCGGACAGTGGCCGTCGTTTCAGTTCTCGTTTCTCGCAGTCGACGGCGAGGAAAAAGTTGGCAAACTGTGGTTAATTGGAGAGATTACGACGCGCGAAAGGGTAACGGTTGTTCACGCGGAAATGTTTCTCTTTTGCGGGGGATTGGATAGTCAACAGGGTGAGTCACCCCCTGTGTGTGTGTTCGGCACGCAGAGAGGAGGACTGTTTGCCTTTTTAATCCCCGGCGAGAGCCGTTCTCTCCCTTTCTCTCTCTCTCTCGTACACTCTATGTGTATCTTTCTCATCGATCCATCGCGAAATTTCAATTTTTCTACCGCGGCGTTAAACAAGGTACACGTGTTCCAAAGCTTGTGGTGTATGCCCGGAGCAATTACAGCGCGGTGCTTTTTTCCCCGCAGCGACGACAAAGACACTCGCTCTGCGCGCAAATTGGATCGACGGAAATCTTTTATGGTATCTTTCTCGAAGCTCTACCGAGCGCAAAGAGATATCCAAAGAGATGAGAAGAGAACGCATTCGCGCAGTTGCGTTTATTACGGTGAGGAATAAAAAAAACGGTAACCGTGCCTGTCTAGAAAAACAAGCGAGAAACAGATACACACGAGACCATTTCCTTGATTGCTATAGACGAATGTGTACCACTAGTCGTATCAGATATCCTGCCAGGACAAGTGGGGAAGGATAATCTGCGGCCGGAGAAATCCAATTCCTCTTGTTGCCCTTCTAATGTCCACCGAGAGAGTATTAGCCCGGATTTCAGGAATCGATGTCTCCGGTTTTGTGACGTTAATTCGGATTCTATGCGTTTAGGACGAAAAGTCAAACGAAACGAAATACTTTGGTCGCAGAATCGACTGTCATACTATCAAAGGGTTGATCTAACATCGATCCTTGATCTCAGAATTTTCCCGCCTATTAACGTGTAATCTGTATTTCTCCAATCGATCGATGTTTCGTTAAAAACGGGACACGTTTCTCCGACGAGGAAGCCCGAAGACGGGGATAAAAAGCCATGGAACGAGATTCACCTAACAACGGAGCGCATATTGCTTCGCCGTCCGGCGAGCAGGTGAAGTTGTATGCGCTGGCAACAGCAACAGTGCTGTCGCATCTGCAGCTGTGCACGTTTCTTTCCGTTCGCCGCTTGCAATTTGCGTTTCCGTGACCGTTTCATGACCTTCTGCCGGTCCAGGAAAAAGTTTCCCCGCCATAGCGTTTCGAAAAATGCGCGACCGTCGGCCGGACCGCGTCCACGCGCCGGTTTCAGCGGAGTTGGCACCGTCACGGACATGGTCATTCCTTTGTTCTTCAACTTCCGATCGTAAATCGCTCTTCCTTCCTTCTTCTCTCGGTACTATTTAATTCGATTCTCTTATACACAACTCGTATTTCACCGATCGAACCGGTTGTTCGATGACGACCCTTCCTCGCGAGTCTTCGACTTCCGGGGGTTGAAAGAGTTTCCCCTTCTTCAAGGTACTTAACGTACTTGAATCATCGACTTAGTTTCGACAAATGTTTCCCTTGCAGCTTCGCGCCCAATGAATTTTTACAAAATGCCTCCGAGTAAAAAAGACGAATCCTCGTTCCTCAACTTCCGGTTACAAAAGACTCTTCCCTCCTTCTGTCTCCAAAGTATCACTTGCGCCTAAAAGATCTCCAATCTTCCAACGATCAATTCTCCCGCAAGCTCCTCTCCTCTTTATCGCTCAAAGCGTCGATCCACTTCGACGTTCCAGTCTCTAGGTCCCTGGCTCCCGAGATCCTCAAAGTTCTCTTTTCATGAATCGCGGTGATTTTCCCGATATCGGTGGCCGATAAACGTTCGTTTCGTTCGGCATCCAATTTGTCGTCGGCTGGAGGGGGCGTTCAGGGGAACTCCGGGCAATCTCCGGGGCTGAATAATTAACCCTAGAGTAATTAGTCGGGCATTAAGCGCGATCGGCTGCTAATTTACGCTAAGGAGCTCTGCCGGTCGTGCAACGGTGTGCAAGCAGTTCCGACGCGGCTTAATCCCTCCTCGAGGGTGGCTTTGATAGTTTAGGGGCGAGGAAGTGGGGAGTGGGTCGGTTTGCGGGGGTGGCCGGCAAGGGAGGGAGGGGGAGGCTGGAAAGGCTCGAGGCGAAGGTAATGGCTTCCTCCCCCGATTACGACGGGTCCCTTGTATTCAGAATTTCTGTTGTTCCAACGCGAGAACAATCATCCGGCAGAGATGATGAAAACGTCGCCGGTCTCTCCTCCGGCTGGCTCGCGTGTCTTCGCGGCCCGAAAGAATAGGGGGTTCGATTGTTTTCCTCCGAAAGTAATCAACGCCGAGACACGTCAGCTTCTCTCTTTCTCTCTTAAATCATCCCCTCAGTCCCGCAGCCCCGCTGGGAGTCGTTCCATCAGCGGGACACTCTCGATAAATCTCAACGTTACACACTGGTCTATTTCAACACCGTACTTTTTTTTTCTCTCCGTGCGTATGCGTGTATACATATATAATATTTATATATTTGTATGTATATATCTCAATATCTCGTGTAAGAATATAGGAAGAATATCGTTCTTACTCCTAACTTAGCCAGACTAAGGAAGACTTCGGATCAGGCACACTATATCGTCGTACGAGAAGCACGATGCTTTTTTTATCCTTAACGATTCTATATACGGTCTGTCCGACCTGGAGACACATGGATTTTACGATACAGAAAAATTGATCTCCCACGAATCCCTCGAGCGCTCTCTTCTATTGATCGATCACAGACACGTGGGCTGTCTGCGGGATCCTCGAGTTGCGGCACACCGATATCTTTCTTCTCTCCTCTCTTATCGCGATTTTCGATCCACATGTAACGAACGTGCCGCGGATCCTACGAAGGAGGACGCTGATCGACGATGCTCGGGGGGAGATGCTCTTCTGGAAATTTTACCGAGACAGCTTACGAACTACACTTAGACCCGAGTACTTAACACTTAGAGGTGACGAGATAAGTAGAACTTATGTGATAGAGAGACTATATTATAAATCGAACTACGCGCTAATGGAAGACTTTTGTGATTTGTTTTGCTTGTCGAGCGTATCACGAGATCGTTACATGTTCCCTTATTTTCCGTCGTCCGATCCGACGTCCCTTCGACACGGGAATCGAGATTATCCTCGGAGGACCCGTGCACCCGACGAGAGCCGACGACGCGCAGCGTCGCAACGCCGGTCCATCCTCGCACTGAGGCGGAAAAGTCGAGTGAGATGCTGGAATAAACTCACCCTCGCCCCGCGCGCCGCTCCCCCCGCACCGTCCCTCTCTGTTTCGCTTTCCGTGCCACCCCCGTGCGGCTCTGCTCGCCTCCCTTTTCGTGGGTGGCGCCGGCGCCATGAGGTACGTCGATATCGGCCGCGCAACACCCCTGAAAAGCCGGCCCGAGAACGCGAACCGTCTCCGCCCTCCAATAATATTGGGCTTACCGGGAAACTGCGTTTTCACGGGGCTGCGAACCGCCGAGGAATTGCGTCCCCCCCGACCCTACAGGTGCCTGACATAACTCGTCATTTTTCTCCAGTTCTGGCTACCCCTTGGCATCCTCTCTGGATCCCGTGTTGCTCGAGACGAATTTAGGGAATGCCCTCAATCACGTGCTTTTGCCCCAGAATAGAAAAATCTGCGTTTCCTTCGTATCGTCGCGCTTCTAGCACTACCTCCTCGCGAAACAACAGAGATTGTTGGTCAACGAACATTAAAATGAAATAGCAACTGTTGTTTGTCAGAATTCCTGCTGTGACTACGGAATCGTGCGACCTTAGATGGGAAATTTAGACTAACTTTGCGCATTTCCAATAGTCCAGAAGCTATACTAGGCCGTGTATTTATATAAGAGTCTTGGAGTCAGATTGTCTTTAACACTTTAGCCACTGGAAGCCTATTAACAGGTTTCATTTAACAGTATCTTATTGAATAATAGCGTTAAGATCAAAGGTAGATAAACTGATAAGTTAATGAGGATATTTCTTTCTTACTTGCGCTAAGAACGCTTCTATCCTCGCCGTGCAAATATCTGAAGCTTCCCTTTCATAAGAGATCTTGGCTTTTCGAAAGGAAAGCTTGGGGACACACACAAGATATATAGGTACTGGCCTTCTATCATCTAGGAGCTATATATAGATACTATATGCTGGATTACTAGAGGAGTCACCAAAAATAATTCTTCTCCGTGTGTTTTCTAACTCGCGCTTGCACATGAAATTTAATTAGACGGTTCCGGATATACTCTGCACATTTTCAACGAGTTTAAAGCTCTGTGCTTGTTCGTTTCATTGGAATAATTGTAGACCGATGTGAAATTAAAGAAGCAAATAGAATGTATAATACTTACTTTACACGGCCAAATTCATCTCTAGGTACCGGTGGTTTGGCTTCGCTTCCCATTAACATAGATCTGTATGACTCTACTTTCTTTTTTACTTCCTCAGTTGTAAAACTACAAAACATAAAACTTCAGGTGAATAACTGACCTAGTATATGTGGTACTATAAGCTGCAGAAGTAATATATTGTGTTAGGAGAATACATTGAAGCCAATGGTAAGCTAAATCCAATTGAAGTTTACAATCCCATTTGGTATTGGGTTCAAGGGATCAATGAAGCTTCATATTTGCTATGTGTAATCTTCATCAAGAAAAACGGTTATTGCACATCAAAAAGATCCTATAATAGTTACATTTGTACTTTATCGGTGTATATGCTTACCCTTGTTCCTCCAATATATCAGCCAATTCTGCACACTTAACTTCAACCTTCCGTTTCCTAACATGGTCAAGAATCTCCTTGTTCGGTTGCTTGTTGAGCTGATCTAATTTCCCTTCGTCAGACTTATATGTAACCTTCTCTTTCGTTTTGCGTACAATCGCCCAATTTCTTTGAACATGTCCATTTGTCCCTGAGCCACGCGGTGTCTGCAATCCGATACCATTGTACATCTTGTATCACACCTGCAAAACCACCATGGAACCACATTAGTAAGGTATCTATACATTGCTCCGTTCTATCTATGTATACCGGTTAAGCCAGCAAATATACTTTTTGCATAAACTCCAAAATTCATGAGAGAAAGCATCAAAGAAACATACTATATAGGGTGTCCCACAATTTTTCGCAAAAATTATGTAAAAGCATCACATATCGGAAGATTCATAAATTAAAAATGATTTCTACCTACAGCATACGCTAGCGAACCTTTTAAAATCATGGTACACCCTGCGTATCATTTTTGCAATAACAAAAACGATAAGTTTCTATACACATCACGAACGAACAAGTACTGCGACAACGGATGACAGTAAACGCACAACAGCCGTTACGGTTACGTTCAAAAACTTGACTAAAGATTGTCTTTATCTCGATCGAAAATGAAATGAACAGAATCTCACCTTGCGATTTAGCGGAGATTCGACACTAAACGCGAGCGAATCGATCAAGAAAATTACACGATTGAACTAATAACTCTGGAGGGAGCGGGAAGGTAGGTTAGAATAGGCTGCACGCAAATCAATTATCGATCCGGCGAGTGCTGCGCAAATTTTTCGCGTACCGATCCCGCGTGAACGTGAAACGTTTACCTTGGCATCAGTATCAGCCGTGACGATCTCGTTGTGCCATCCACGGGACCGTCGATCTTGCGACTTGTCTTCCGATGAAATTGATCAATGAAAAAAACACAAGTGCAACCGCGATTTCCGTGGCGTTTCACGCGATAGCCTCGCGACGACGTATGTAGTGCGTGTGCGGTGGCGCTACTGTCGCTCATAAGCGTAGGACGAGAGAATCGCATATATCCGTCCCGTAATCCGTTTGCAGCGACAATCGTTTTATTTCATAATTCGGTCCTTAAACCGCATAAATTATCATGAACTCGTTACGGCCGATGCGAATAATAACTGTTTTTTTGTTTCGGATGTAGTAAAAGAAAAGAATTCTTCCGACACAAATTGCACCATTGATTACATCAACTTATGTATGTAAATTATAGTGCGCAGTCACATCCCGCGTTTAAACAAGCGCGCGAGACACATTGGCAGACTAGCAGAAAACATTCAAAACATTGAACTTGTCACAGGGAAACGCACGTGGTACAATATAATGTAACCAAAAATCGTGTCCTGAAGATTTTATTTGCAAGTCAATTTAAAGCGGGATATGCAATTTCGAAAATTATACTCAACGAATGGTATACGTTTGTGAATTCGTCGTAAGAAGTTATTTAGCCTCGAGCAATAATGGAAGTTAGCGTGGGAGATGTTGTTATGCCTGGTGATGTCGTAAAGGATATTGCAACAATTAACAAAAAGGAAACAATTATTTTAGGACCAGGTCTACGCCGCGAATCCGACACGGTTTTTGCGTATAAGGCGGGAATATTGAAGAAGACGAATCCAGCTGTATATTATGTAGATAGCTACCAAAAACGGTAATGTTTATTCATTTTTTAAACAATGCCCGTCCAGATATACTTGAGAATTGCGCTCCCGTAAATTATTGTACTGACTAATAAAAATTAAAAAATGTTTAAAAACCATATATATTGTTTGTTAAATGCGCCGAATGATTATGTTAAAAATTATAATTTGTTTTTTAAAGATATGTACCAAATCGTGGCGAAAACGTTGTGGGTATAATCACTCAAAAGGGTGGTGATATTTTTAAAGTGGATATAGGGGCCAGCGAACAAGCATCTCTTTCGTACCTTGCTTTTGAAGGTGCTACAAAAAAGAATCGCCCTGATCTTCAAGTTGGTGACCTTGTCTTTGCAAAACTTTTGGTTGCCAGCAAAGATATGGAATCAGAACTTGTATGCGTGGATTCCCATGGCAAAGAAAAGAAGTTAGGTGTTCTAAAGTCCGATGGTATGTTTTTCACGTGTTCATTGAGTCTCATCAGAAAGATACTGAATCAAAGTTCTCCACTGTTTAACACACTGGCACGTAGTCAGGCATTTGAAGTAGCTGCTGGAATGAATGGCAGAGTGTGGGTGAAAGCAAGGACTATTCAGGAGACTATAGCAATAGCCAATGCTATTTTGGCTGCAGAGTACGCTACTCCAAACAACATAAAAAAGATATGTTCAGATATTGAAAAAGCTTTGCTTTTGACACAGTCAGGTAACGATGAAGAAATGCAATGAAGAAAATAAATAACGGTCATCTGTTATGAATGATTATTTATTGTACCAATATTATTAATGATTTTTATAAATAAATCTGTATGATTTCTTATATGAAATGCTGTGATTATAGTGACAACCATTGTGACAACCATCGTGATAAAAATGTAGAATTAGAACTACATGTAGTACGTATAGTATCATTAAGTATATTGGTCAAGTCATTGCTATAGTAATGCAATGAAAAGAATCAGCAAATCTCTACTAAAAGAAAAATATGTACTTAAGTGTTTTAGTACTACTTGTATTTCTCATTCAGATTGCAGTTTGATAAT